CATTTAAATTCATTCCAAGCGCTGCTTTATATGACTCGTCTTAAAAATTGATTTCTAGCATTGCACCTCTAGCAGATATGCTCATCTCTAAAAATTCACTAAATCTAGCCTAAGCTCACTAGCCTCTCTGTGTGGACACTGATTGGGAGTCCAGAACTGGGGGCTCGGGCGAACCTGGCATCTACCATACCCGTCAGTTGATGAAGTTCAGCAACTCTTTGATCCCTGAGCCTGAATTTCCTCATTTTTATGTGCTGATGCTACTTCTCATTGTGAGATGAGTTGCCTGTAGGTTGAGTGAATTATTGTGCTAATCACTGTGCCAGCACATAGTAACAGTCAGAACTGACCAGGTTGGAAGCTATTTTTCGATTCACATGTGTGTACTCTTTTTCTCGGCTTCTGGTCAATTATAAATGGTGTATACCATCTTCTAATCTGCATCCAAGGAAATGATGCTCATATTTCTGTGGAGGACAGGGCCTCAGATGCTGCCCTGTAACAGCGCTGGAGTCTCTTCTTCGGGTGATTCATTAAACATGATTGTTTCCCAAAGTCATTCAGTCTCACTTTCTTACAGTGACTGCATTTCTCCTTCTTGTTCTTAAGAATATCACAACAACCTTTATCAAGCAGGTTAAACTTGTTTAAAAGGAGTTCTGAGGATAGGAATTTTGCTTTCTACCGTCTGGCAAAGAGAAGCTCCATGCATTTTTCATGAATTTCAAACTCTGCATGCAGTACATTCTTAATAAATGTTTCTTAGATTAATTAACCCCATTCTGGAGACGGTCACTCTGGTTCAGAGGGTTAGGCCACTGCGTGAAAGGGTTGCATCTCATACTGAAGTGCCTGGCTTGAGTTCTGACACCCTGATCCTGGTCTAGCTTCCTGCAGAAGTACTTGGGAAAGCAGGGAATGGAGAGCCAAGTGCTTGGGTACCCACGTAAAAGACCCAGATGGAGCTCCTGGTCCCTAGCTTCTGCCTAACCCAGCCTTGGCTGTTGTTGGCAGGTAGGGGTTAAACAGCGGATGGGGCATCCCTCATTTTCTCTCCCTTTCACTTTTCTTTGCAATAAGCAAATGTGAATTTTAAAATATCCATTCTGTAAGTTTAATTATCTTTGTAAGAACTTATTCTAGAATCTCACCTAGATTTATTATTTGACAGTTTGTTGAAATTGCTGATAATTCCTTTTCTAAAACAGAAACATTTAAATTATTATTTATTTTTATGTGAAAGGCACATTTTACAGAAAGAAAAGGAGAGACAGAAAGAGGACTTTCATCTGTCGGTTCACTCCCCAAGTGATTGGAACAGTAAGAACTGAGCTAATCTGTAGCCAGGAGCTTCCTCCAGACTTGCCTAATGGGTGCAGGGGTCCAAGGACTTCCCCCACTACTTTGTCAGGCCATAAGCAGGAAGCTGGATCAGAGTGGAGCAGCCAGGGCACAAACCAACACTCCCATAGGACGCCAGTGCTTCCAGACAAAAGATTAACTTGCTAAGCTACTGTGTTGCCCCTTTAATTCCTTTCGTAACAGGTTGAAACTACTGGAATTATACCAAAAAGTAGCTCCCCATTACTCCTTCAAGACACAGCAGGCTTGGGAAGGTTTGGAGTGAGACTGGGTTCCAGGGACAGTCTAACTACTGTGCACCAAAGAGCTACTCAAACCCTGTACATTCCAAAGACAAGACTCATCCTCAACTGAAGCCTGGGAAATGGCCTTTGGGCCTTCAAAATATCCTGTCCGAACGTCTGAGGCCTTGGAACACCAACCCTGTCAGTTTGATCTTGGTGGGGCCAAAGACAGTAGCTGTCGGTCATACAGTGTCTCTGCGACAGAGCTACAACTGAAACCCTGAACAGCAAGACTCAGGTGAGCTGTCCCGACTTCCACCACATGACACACATCATTACCCTTCAGTGCTACAACTGAGCCCTGGGCAGGCAGCTCTTGTCAGAGAGGATAGCCAGAAGCTTATGCCCGATTTTTCCAAAACTTTGTCCTTTGTGCCGATTACAGCAAATATCCTCTCAACAATAGTGAAACCAATAATAAAGCAAAACTATGAGTGCTGTGGATTTTCTGAATCCTTGAATCTTTCTAGAGAATGTAACTTGAGGTAGTCTTGGAGACCCCAACATACCCATTTACTCTATGCTAGTTATGATATTTGCAAATTATCCAACGTCATTTTGCTACCATTTTCTTATCTGTAAGATTGAAACAATAAGAATATTCATCTTACAATGACGTTCTGGCATCAAATCAACACAAGATTTTCTTCATAAGCATACATTGGGTGTTGCTACAGAAATTCCAGGAAAAAAGTTTGTTCTTTCAAGCCAGAGTTTTCATATTCCCTTTCCCCTACTCCAACATGTGATGGTCTGGACCGGTAGGTCTTCCACACTTAGTGCAGGGAGTCATCCTCTTCCAACCTTCCCATTTCACGCATGTCACCAACCTCTCACCAAATGCGTGCTCTTCCCACTTCCAGCCCAAGTCACCGGAGCAAGACAGGCAGAGCAGGCTGCCTTGCTCATCTGTGGCAGCCATCACTTTAGCCTTCTTGAATGCAAGCAGTAAATCTTTATCCTTTGATCTTCCTTCAGATGGCTTTTGTTTTTCACATAATCTGTGACATTTTTTCCCACTCCAGGATTCTTTGGATGTGAGTTTTTCCGGCCTGAACGGCCGCATATTTGTGATGATTTGTAGGATGGCCTTTCACTGCCCACTCTTCAGGAAGATGCTTTCTCTGCTTCATCTTAGGACTGATTTCACTGCCACTATTTTTAACTCATTGAAAGAGGAATGCATGGTCAAAATTAAAACATTACAGATGTTTATATCATAGGAAACAAAACTTTGTTAAAGTTCTCTCTAAAGATATCACCATACAGTTTTTTTTTTTTTTGACCTGTCAGCTCTTAGCAGAGATCTTTGTGCAAAAAAAAACATTTTTTTCTCTATTGGGACATATTTCAGTGGCACAGCTGAAATGTCAGATTTCACGACGCAGAGATGGAATGTGGCCATCTTTCCTCTGAACTTTGGTAAACAGCTCCCTTTTCATGTCTTCTGTGTCGTTTCACCTCCCTCAGCTTTTTCTGTGTGGTCATCAGGAACACGTTTTTGTGCCTCCGTTTTTGCTATTTTTCTTTTAAAGAAACCTCCCTGTTTATCCAGATTTCCCATGAGCTTTCTTTTTTGTTTTTTGTCTTTATTTTTAAATGTTTAAAAATATGTTTTTTTTTTTTTGGAAAGTCAGATATACAGAGAGGAGGAGAGATAGAGGGGAGGATTTTCCATCCAATGATTCACTCCCCAAGTGCCCACAATGGCCGGAACTGGGCTGATCCGAAGCTTGGAGCCTGGAGCCTCTTTCAGGTCTCCCACGTGGGCACAGGGTCCCAAGGCTTTGGGCTGTCCTTGACTGCTTTCCCAGACCACAAGCACAGGAAGCTGGATGGGAAGCGGGGCCTCCAGGATTAGAACCGGCACCCATATGGGATCCCGAGCACAAGCAAGGTGATGACTTTAGCCACTAGGCTCCAGAGCTGGGCCCCTTGTGCCTCAGATTTAAAAAGGAATGCTTTGACCTATCTAAGAGTACTCTGAAGAGATTGTAGAAATCTGAATTAAAAGGTCAGCTTATTTAGGCACATAGTTATTTTAAAGGTAGAGGTTGAGCTACTGGTTAACTGTTTAGAGGATAGGGTGTGGGTTAAACTAAAGCCAGGAGCAAGGAACTTAATCCAGGTCTATGAGTCTCCATGTGGGTGACACAAACTCAAGTAATCGATCCATTGATCACCCACAGCCTCCCAGGGTGTACATTAGCAGGAAACTGGAGTCCGAAGCAGCCAGGCCTTGAACCCAGAGTCTCCTTATGGGATGCTGGTATCCCAAGTGGTGTTTTTACTACTTCACCAAACCTGCCCTGAATGTTGTGTTTAAACAATTCCTTTTCATGCATTTTTGTTGCCTGAATGAGACCAAGTTCAAACAGTCCCCTATGTGGTGATTCTGAGCAGTTAAGAAGCATTATTTATATTAGACATTAATTCCAAATGATGATGATGACAATAAGGGTGGATGTAAACAGTAAAGACAAACCGTCACCCAATGCTCATACCCCTGAATGTATCTGGAGCAGAAATAAAATGAGAAGAGCAATGCTTATCCACTCGGCTTGGTACTAGGATTAAAACAATATTCCTGAATTTTGTTGAGGAGTAACTTGGAAACAGAAAATTCTCCAATGGAAATTAGTTTATGAACTGCAATGATACCTTTCCAGATCTAAGTCGTGTGTACTAAGGAATGCAAGAGACAAAAAAGATTATTTTTAAAAAGTTTAAAATGATAAGGACTCACAGTGGGGCAGAGGGCGTTTGGAGGTGAATAGAGGTGCACCAGGGCAATCAAAATAAGCCCAAGAAATGTACCATTTTAGAAGCTGGGGAATGTGAAGACTGTGTGTTCATTTATTCATTCCCAAATATTTATTTAAGCGCGCACTACCCGAGGCCCTTTGGATATGCAGGGCACAAGGCCGGTGGCTTCCTTGCTCCGGTAAAGTTTACATTCCGGGGTGTACTTGAATTCTAAGCCATGACTTCAAGAGCAAAACAGAACTAATGAGTGAGTCGAGGAAGCCATGGGTCTTCCTAAGCCACAGCTGGGTTCCCGGCTCCGAGGCGGGCTTCCTGGAGCGTGGTCCGAAGTATCCCTGAGTAACTAACGCCATGAAGACGCAGTCAGAATTACAGGAGAAAAACGACTTCATCACAGCCCTCAGAGAGCAACGGAAACTCACGCTGTCAGGAAGAGCGTGGACTACAGATCCCAGAAGCCTTTGCGACCCACCTCCAGTCAGCATAGCTTCTACGTCTGGGGAAAAGAGGGGTTGTCGGGCGGGCTTTTGATGCGTCATCAGCGTGAGCCTCCAGGAGGGAGAGCAGGTTTAAGTAGTTACAAAAAGCATGGCAGCTGGTGAGAAGGAGGTCGAGTCAGCCTTGGAACCAGGCGCAACCCCGGATTCTGGAACGTCAGGAACTACCTCAGCCATGGCCGCGACCTCGTCAGCGATCGTTGCGGCGGCCAGGACCGGAACTGAAGGCACGGTCTCCAAGGGCGCCTTGGCTGCCAAGCTGCTGTCCCTCAACGGCGTGTTCGCCGTGCAGAAACCCAAAGGGCCCACTTCAGCCGAGCTCCTGAACCGGCTGAAGGAGAAGCTGCTGGCAGGTACTGCAGCCCGGGTGGGGACCGGGCTGAGGCGGTCGCCGCGAGCCGGGAAGCGCTGCAGGCAAACGATAAAAAAGGGAGAATGGCAACGGAATCAACTCGGAACCAAAGTCTGAGGCGTCTCGGGCTTGGACTCGCCATGGAAACGCCTGTAGCCTAGTTCTCAGGGCGGGAAAAAAAAAAAGCCAAAAAGAACCGAAACAATCCTAAGGTTTAACCCATAAGCCTGTGCCCTTGGGCATGCAGATCCGAGTTTTTCTGGACCCATTTCTCAGGAGGCTTTTGTTGGTTCCTGTGGATGAGCCTCAGCACTGGCCCTGGCCCCCCAACGTTGCCTTCTTAGGCGTATCGTAATACACTGGTTTCCACATTTTAGTAAGCATAGAGGTTTCCTGGAACTGCAGACGCTAACCTGTGGCTTCAGAGACTGTGATTAAGTGACGCGTTATTTTTAGGAAGTGGTATTTGGAAGCGAGGTCCTGCATAAGTTGGTGCCACATTTTTGAGGAACATTTAGGTAGAACTTGGTCACTTTTCTCAGAGCATTTTGTATCTGTTTATCCATGTATACCAGAGAAACATTAGAAAAACCTGGAGGTTCCCGGAGTTCATCAGTTCGGAAATCCTCTCGGACAATGGCCTCCAAAGAGCCCTGAAGTTTTGGGGACACCCATACCGAGCTAGGTCTACACTGTTGTGGGGAAGGTGAAAGATAACACCCTTTTTCTTTAACTGAGTCTTGTCATTTCTACAACCTAAAGCTAGGGTTTTTCAGGGCCTTCTAGAATTTGGGCCCAGCCTGTCTTCCATTATACCCGTACATTGTTTAAAATGCCTGGCAAACTTTACGTGTTTTTAGAGTGCCAAAACAAATTGTCCTGATAGGAATTTTTTCTTTGTAAGTGGCACTGTGGGTGGTACGCTCTTGGAGATTTATAATTCCCCTATGATGCTTTCTCATTGTTCTGTTAAGCCTCCCTTGCACTAAGCGTGGTTTACACGCAGTGACTTTGAGGGTAAGCCATGTGGTGCTGTCATAGGGGTTTTCGATCCTCAGGGTGATGGTTACTGTTCTCCCAGGCAAGTTTCTGGCAGAATCTAAGCCATATTCTGGCCTTCTAGTTAACCCAAGAACTGGGATTTCCTATTGAAACTAGCTCAAGCCTGATTATTTCCAAGGTGGCTCTGCCATCTTCTGGAAGCTACTCATTTGGGTTTAGATATTCTCATTATCCTGTTTCTTAGTGTTTATGACTGATCTGGTCTGTATTTGTGTTATCTGGCCTGGGGCTTCTCAAATGCCTTTGCCCCTGTAACCTGGACAGCTCTACCCACCTTCTGATGTGGGCCAGATTTGACAAGTACAGATTCAGCTCATAGCTAGGGGTCATAGCCTCTGGTAATATTCCTTGCCTTCCCTTAGATTGATTCTTGTCACACTGTAGTCCCCACCCTTCTCAGGATCCTGCAGGGCTTGAATTAATGAACATACATTCGTGGATATTGGGTTTCAGTGGAGTGGACCAACTTCTGATATTGTAGAAGTGTTTGCAAGTTAGACACAGCGTTAGGTATCAGTACAGATGGTAGATGCAGGAAGCCTTGTCAGGTTGAAAATACAGAGTTCCCCAAAAGATTTCTACACACGCTCAGAGGAGAGAGCCACAGTGTGTTGGCTGTGAGGGTAAAGGCTTGGAAGCCTCTGCCGGGGTGTAGAAGTTTCTACGTAGGCAGACAGCCTTGTCTTTCCAAGCAGGATAATGTTGCATTGAGAGAATGACGCCACCACTGTGTCAGTTCCTACTCCATAGGAGGCTCTGCACTCCAGCACCTCCTTTTAGGGGACTGGCACCTGCACCCCAAAAGGCAGCAGCTTAACCCATTAATACCACAATGCTGGCCTCTTACTTTTTACCAAATGAATTTCCCTTTAAGAAATGCATTTTAGTTTCTAAATAAATAATTTTAGAGAACCATTTCTTTGTAGTTGGTGTACATTTTGAAATCTATTTCTTCCTGATATTGTGGTCAGAGTTGAATATGTCAGGTTTGTTTAATGCATTTTGTTTTGAATCCACTCCCACCTCTCCCCTTGCCCCATATTTATGGAAAGCCTGCATCTCTTTTCTTGATAATTTTTGTTTTCATCCTAACTGCTCTCATAGAAGCTGGAATGCCTCCCCGAGAAAGGACTAAGAGGAAAAAGCAGACTTTGAAGATTGGGCATGGAGGGACTCTGGACAGCCCCGCCCAAGGAGTGCTAGGTAAGAGACGTAAAAAAAAAAAATTACTGTGATTCACTTGGTATCAAAAAATGTGAACGGTGAGTAGCTGGGTATGATCAAGGCTGGGCCATTTCCAGTCTGCTTTGGAACCCTTCGATGGGCTTGGTTTACAAGTGCTGCCTTCTTTTAAAGAAACTGTTACTTTCTCAGAGCCAGCCTTAAATTGCTGTCTGGAAAGACCTGCCTCTTGGCTAGCCTTGGGGAACTTGGGTTTGGAGAGCATTCCCACCTTTTCCTTGTGGTGAGGATGATTTGCTGTGCCTTGGCCCAAGGGATGCCTGCCGGCGTTGTGTCCTGTCCCACAGGCAGAGGGTTCCTGGTGACCGGTCCCCCAACCCTCTGGACACTAAGTGTTCAATGAACTTCCTAGAGAGAACCATCGCACACGTACTTCTGCTTCTCTCAGTGTTACAGGAGTGTGCCCAAGTGTCCCCGCCTCAAAGGAGGGACAGAATAAGGAAGCAGGTTTGTGGGTTTTCCAGTGTTTCCCTGGGCAGCCAGCTGTGTGTCTTTGCTATAGCGCTGCAGTCAGTTTTAGCCACATATGTCTCTTTGAACATGGGCCGATCTTGAGAGCTACCTGCAAGGCATGTGACTATCTAATGTTATTTCTGAGACTGGACTTCTCTTAAGGTAAATCATATATAGTTTGTGTGTGTGTTTTAGATTGATTGGTTTATTTGAAAGGTAAAGTTACAGTGAGAGGAGGGAGAAACAGAGAAATTATTGTCTGCTGGCTCACTCCCAAAATTTGCACAGCAGCTGGGCTGGGCCAGGCCAATGCCAGGAGCCTGGAACTTCCTTTGAGTCTTCCATGAGGGTGGCAGAGGCGTAAGTACCTGTGCCATCTTTTGCTCCTTTCCCAGGTGTATTAGCAGGGAGCTGGATTGGAACTGCAACAGTCAGACTCCAACTGGCACCCATATGAGATGCTGGCGTTATAGGTAGCAGCTTCCAGCAGCTTCACAACAGTAGTAGCCTTAACCATATAGTTCTTAATGGGAAGTCTTTTTTCCTCTAGATGTTTAGTGGACCATTTTATTAGTCTAAGTAGGAAAAATCAGTAGAATTGATTGAGGGGAGAAAAATCATTTATCCTCTTTTTCACATCTGATAGAAGTTCTAAAGTTTCTCCTTATAGACTGCTAGAGTGTGCTGTCACATGTTAGGGTGTCTTTTTCAAGCGTTTTCTGTACCTGAATCTGTAAACCACAGAAATACATTAATCACTGTCACCTTTGTCTCTTTCCACACATGGTGGAGGCAAGCTTTTATGGACCAGTAGTTTTTATGTGCTCTGGTATTCATTTACTGAATTTCGTCTTTGAAAGTGTGGGTCTGGAGGTTGGTATTGAGCCTGGTAGTTGAGGTGCACACGCCCAGGACCTGAGGTTTGGTTCCTGACTGGCTGTGATTCCAGCTTGCTGCTAGTGCAGATGCAGAAAGGCAGTAGTAAAAGCCCAAGTAACCGGAGTCCTGCTGCTCACACAGGATGCCTGAGTGGTGTCTCTGGCTGCCAGCCTCCACTCAGTTTGTAGACCTCTGGAGAGTGAACTGGGAGATGGGAGTTGTCATATAAAGGAAATTTAGCAGGCCCAGCACAATGGCTCAATTGGCTAAGCTTCCTCTTGCAAGTGTCGGGATCTACTTAATGGTGCTGGTTCATGTCCCAGCTGCTCCACTTCCCATCCAGCTTCCTACTTGTGGCCTGTGAAAGCAGTAGAGAAAACCTTGGGCACCTATTGCCATGTGGGAGACCCAGAGGAGGTTACAGGCTCCTGGCTTGGAATTGTTCAGCTACAGCCCTTATAGCCATTTGAGAAGTGAATCAGTGCATAGAAGATATTTATTTCTTTCTCTCTGTGAATCTACCTTTTCAATAATAAAAAAACTTAAAAAAAATTATGCAATCTGCCCCCTGCCCAAAATAGTAATACAATGTTGATCTGCCAGCCTTCGTATTAGAGATAAAATTAGGTAAAAACAAATGACAAACTCTTATTGGAACTGTCTAATGGAAATACATGCTTCATTAAAAAGATAAAATTGATGATGAAAAGATTTTAAAAAATTAGAAATTTTTGAGCTTACATTTTCTGAAATGATAACTAATTCATGTCGGCAAAAAATATCATTGCTTATGGCTAAAAATAAAAATCAGAGGAAATTACACTTTTCTAAATTGGAGCACTTGAATAGGCAAATCCTGACAATTTAAGCAACTGATAACAAGTGATTGTTGAACACTTACTGTGTATGAAGTCCTTGATTAAGTTCTTCATAAATTTTATATTTTGTTAGTATATCCTCTAAGGTAAGAATCATAACAGGTTGCCTATCCCATATAGGAAATGCTTGACGCTAGAAGTAGCTTTTTTTTTTTTCAGATTTTAAAGAATTTGCATATGTAAATGAGGTATCTTAGGGATGGGACCAAGCTTAAGTATGAAATGCATTTATATTGTATATATACTTTACACACATAGTCTGAAGTTAATTTATGCAATATTTTCAGTGCATCTGCATCTTTTTTAAATATACAGTAAAAGAAAAGTAAAATTTAAAAATATGGAATGCTTTATGAATTTGCGTGTCATCCTTGCGCAGGGGCTATGCTAATCTCTGTATCGTTCCAGTTTTAGTATATATGTTGCCGAAGCAAGCACACTGCATCTGTATCTTGGAGACTTAATTTCATCATGGAGGCTTTATGATGATATGTGTTCATATGTCAAATTTATCAATTTTTCTCTCTAGTGCCTTTGGTTTCTAATGAGAAATACTTTTTAAGATTGCATGTGTTTAGTCTTAGCAATAAGAGATATTTGTTATTTTAAGTAGTAATTCTGTGAACTTGTGAGAAATTACTTTATTTCAAAGAGAGACTTCCTGCAATAGCCAGGTATCTGGGGAGTGAACTCAAAAGTATCTCGCCTGCAGGTGGAAGGGATATAGTACACTTTCTGGGGGTAGAAGTTGAGGTGAGAGAATATTGGTGCAAGAAACACTGCTTTATTGAGTCCTTCATTTCCAATAATTTGGCTGGATTTTGTTTCAGTGTTGCTATTTGCTGTGTGGCGTATTCCTTAAATTCCTGAATGTGCTTTTCCTTATTGATAAAAAAACTTTATAACAAGTGCTTTGAATTATGTATCCCCTATTTTCTCTATGTATTCTTCAGTTAACTCTGAGGTTGGCAAAGCCTTTTGCTCCTTTGCAGAGGAATGTTCATTAATATTCCTTGTACCTTTGTCTCTTCTTTTGCTCTTGGTCATTGCACTTCTGGTTAGCAGATTCCTGTCCTTAGGTTAGGTTTCCAAACTGTATCTCCTCCAGGTCTGCGATTTGATTTTACTTGTTGTGGTTGGTACCTGGTTCTTTGTTTGCAGTCACTTGTGCCCCTCCCTCCAGCGAGTTCCCGGTCTGGGCTTTTATGTTAGACTTCCACCATGGTCTCCCTAGCCCAGCTCCTGGCTCAGTACTCTACCTCCTGTGATCCTGCTGCTGTTGGACCTTTGTACAATGTTTCTCCCACTTCCGGTTCAAGCAGCTCCCAGGATTAGGGAGATACCAGGTGTCCTGAATAGCTAGGTTGCTGGTGGTACTGATCTTGCTGGAACCTGTTGGCCATTATGTCTGAGGGCCACTTGGACTTGTTTTTTGAGTTATAAGATGCCAAAGTCAGTATACTTTTTGATGTGGGACCATTGCAATGTACTGAGCACAGTGAGTTCACTTCGAGCTCAGCGCATGTGCAGTCATTATTGTCTCTGCAGTCTCAAAGCTTTTGCCACACTGTACAAAGTGATGCATGATGTGCAACTCATGGAGTTCTTGATCTGCTGACCGTTAGGTCTGGGGGCTACCGGACCTATTTTGAGTGGACCCCAAAGAATGCTACGTCGTTGCAATTCACTGATCTCGAAATGGGTTTGCTCTCAGCTTAGTGCAAGCACAGTCCAGTCCCATAGCCATTACCTCCCTATACAAGATGACACCTGATGCAGCTCTGGTGGGGATTTGGCTGTGAAATCCACCTGTTCCTGCACCGCCTGTTTCGGATCTGCTGCTCTGTCTCTGCTCTTGTCTCTGCTCTCAAATCAAACATACCAGCGGGACGGGCAGTTCTTTGTGTGGGTTTACCTGCTGGTTTCCTGGTGAACTCCCCTTCCCACCTGGTTGCTGGTGGAGTTCGGATCGCCATTTGATGAATGCCACTGGCATGTCAGGTCACTGCAGTGCCACGCTGCTGTCTCTGCTACCTTCCTGTGTGCATCAGTCTCCAGGTGTCCCTATGCCATTGTTCTGTCCTCTGCTGTTTCCTGGAATGTGCCCTCTCTGCTTCACCTTTGCTAATGTTTCTCTGTTTAAATGTATCCTCATTCTGTTATGCCATCTTGATTCTTCCACTTGAACTAAACTTTGAAAGATGAACTTTGAATACTTCGCTAAGTAGCTGCTATAGTTGGAAGCTTTGGGACCCTAATAAGGACTATTGGGGAACACAACAGAATGCAAAATAGGGCTTCAGAAATGATTGTGAAATGTTATGAATTAGGGGCTGGTGTTGTAGGTACAGTGGGTTAAGCTGACACCTGCATTACTGGCTTCCTGTGAGTGCTGGTTTGAGTCCGGGCTGTTCTGTTTGCAGTCCAGCTCCCTGCAAAAGCGCCTGGGAAAGCAACCCAAGATTACCAGACTTGGAGAGTTCCAGGCTCTTGGCTTAGGCCTGGCATAGTCCAGACATTCTGTAATTCTGTATTGTGGTGGTAATATTATGTTCGTATGTATCACTGTATCCTATGGTGAAGAACATTTCAGTTTTAGCAAAATTGTCTGCCCCTGAGTGAAGAAATCATTACATCTCTCAACCTCCGCTGGGGGAGTGTGTTAAAAATCAGTAGTAGTTGAAACTGAAGAAGCCTGTTGTACTTATCGTGGTCCACAGTAAGATACATTCTCCAGCCCCTCATTTGACCCTGGGTATTAGGTTCGCTTGTTGTGTTTCTGTTTTTCTGGACTGTGTTCTGTTGCCACTAATCGCCTTTGCATGGCTCGTTAGCTATGATGATGACTTGGCTTTACTTAACAATGAATTCTGTCAAGGCTTTATCATACCACTTGAACATTGCTAATTGCGCTGTATCTTTTTCACTGATGCCCATATAAAATTCTAATGAGTCCTTTGAGATTGTTCTCAGACTTCTCTATCTGACTGACTTGTTTGAGATTTCTATTGTGTTTATTTATTTATTTATTTATTTTGAGAATGGAAGGTAAGCTGGAGGAGATCCCTTCCCATTCCATTCTTCCAAATATCTTAGTTTATTAAAAAGTTGAATTGATTGGGCCCGGCGTGATGCCGCAGTGGTTAAGGTCCTCGCCTTGCACGCCCGGGATCTCATATGGGCACCGGTTCTAATCCCGGCAGCCCCGCTTCCCATCCAGCTTCCTGCCTGTGGCCCAGGAAAGCAGTCGAGGACGGCCCAAAGCTTTGGGACCCTGCACCCGCGTGGGAGACCCGGAAGAGGCTCCTGGCTTTGGACCGGCATGGCATGGCCGTTGCGCTCACTTGGGGAGTGAATCATCGGACGGAAGATCTTCCTCTCTATCTCTCCTCTCTGTATATCTGCCTTTCCAATAAAAAAAAAAAAAGAATAACAATAAAAATAAATCTTTATAAAAAAAAGTTGAATTGATTAAGTGATAAGACTCTTTATTAAATATATGTTACATATATGCTTTTTCTAACTTCATGTTGCCTGGGCCAGGAGAGTGTGACCAAAATATATAGATAATTTATTTCATTTTTATTCAGGAGGGAAGTAGGGAGGGAAGGAGTCAGACTACTCCCATTGGCTGATTCTCTCCCCGGATGTCTACAGGCAGCTTGGGCTGGGCAGGACCTGCTTCGGGAGCTGGCAGCTCCATCTGTGTCTCCTCTGGGGCCAAGGGGACCTAGTTATTTGAGCTGCCACTATCACTGCTGTCATCGAGCTGGTAGGAAGTAGGAGTCAGGGAACTGAGACGCTCCGCTGTGGGATGTAGCGAAATATCCACTCCCGTTTTCAGAATATTGATCATTCTTGTCTTGATTTGCAGTGGTTGGAATTGGAAGGGGAACAAAAATGCTGACCAATATGTTGTCTGAGTCTAAGGTAAGAATATTTAAATAGTTCTAATTTTTAACTATTGGAAGTTAATAGTTTTTCCAGTTTAAGTTTTTCTTAGTGACCTAAGTGTTGAAATAAACAAGCTTTTAAGTTGTATGAGTAAGTGTCGTTCCTGGGTGCTGCTCACAATGTCTACAGCGGGATGTCAGGATTCAGAATATTAAATTTTAAGTTGGAAATGCTTCATTGAAAAACAAGTAAGAGTTAAGCTGCAACTCAGTGGTACTCATACTTTTAAAACATATATTTAGATTTCTTAATATAATCATATTTTATAGAAGAAAGAAACTTACAGGTCATAAGTTCTATTAGAAGATTTTTAAACTTTTAAATTTTTATTGGAGCAAAACCATACACTTGTCAACAAAAACATTGTGGATAATTAATGTTTATTAAAGCAAAGATTGTTGTAAGATGATGCTTTGTTGTTCAGCTGTGAGAGAACCTCCAGCTCAGTCCAAGAGCACTTGAGAAGAGAGAGTGGATTATTGGGAGGTGGGCAAGGTTGGCAACCTGTGGCCTGCTGTGGGCATCCAGCATGGGGAAAGGGCTGGAAAAGCAGAAGTCACGTGGTCACTGTGACTGCTCTCCCCAGCTTCTCAGTTTTCCTTAGGAAAAATGATGAGCACCTGTTTTAGCTCCAAAAGAGATATGTGCTTTTTTATAATTTTTAATTTTGAAGCTTTATTTATTTATTTTTGAAAGGCAAAGCTAGAGAGAGAGAGAGAGAAGGAAGAAGAAAGAGATCTTTCATCCACGGTTTCATTCGTCAAATTGTTGCAACAGCTAGAGTGGGGCCAGTCTGAAGCAAGGAGCCAGGAGCTTCTTCTACATCTCCAGCGTGGGTGCGGGAGTTCAAGGCTTTGGGGCCGTCCTCTGCTGCTTGCCAGCCATTGGCAGGAAGCTAGATCAGAAGTGGAGTAGTCAAGACTCAATCAGCACCTAAATGTGTTGCTTGTGCCACAGGCAGCTTTACCCACCATGCCACAACACCAACTCCAATATGTGTATATTTAAAAAAGGCTTTATTATTATTTGAAAAGCGGAGTGACAGAAAAAGAGAGAGACTGAGAGAGAGAGTACTCCTCAATCTGCTGATTCAGTTCCCAGATAGCGACAATAACTGTGGTAGGCCAGCCCCAAACTGGGAGCTTGGAATTCCACTAGGGTCTTCCCCATGGGTGGAAGGGGCCATCCTCTGCTGCTTTCCCGTTTGTGGGGAACTGGATCAGAATCAGAGGGTTGCCAACATCACCTGTGGTTTGATTTGCTGCACCACAGTGCCAGCTCCATATTTGTATGCTTAATAGCAATTGGTACTAGTTAATGATAGCTAGGATTAAGAGGCTGTGAAAATGCCTATGAGAAAAGAATTTCAACAAGTTCTTAGACTAAACTCCTGTATTTGTTATAAACTTCTTGCTCTAAATATAATATGAATAGTTGGTGTAGTGGTTTTACCTACATTGTTTGTGTAAAAAAAAAAAATCTGTGGTTAAAGACAATTTATAAGATTTTTCCAGTTCATTGCAGGCTGATTGATGGCTTTGTGAAATAGACTCAAAATGTTGGGGCAAGCTCAAGTTGCTAACTACGTAGTACCACTCCATACAACCCCTAACAAAGAAAAGGGTGCTAGCTTTTTAAATAAAATCCTTAGGCCATCAAACTATTTTGCTTCCATCTATATGAAACAGAGACCATTAAGATCACCCAGCTGTTTTGAGGGAATTTCTTCCATTAGAGGGAAAGGGTTGTGTATCTTAACCCCCAGGCAGGCATTTGGCCTAGAGATTAATTCTCAAGACACCAGTCTGCATGTCCACATCTGGGTTTGCCTCCCAACCCCTGCTCCCATTCCAGCTTCCTTCTAATGCCAGCTGGGAGGCGCCAATGACAGCTCAAGGAACTGCGTGCTGGCACCCACCTGGGAGACCTGGATTGAGTTCAGGCTGGAGGCCTCAGCCTTCCCTGGGGCTGTTGCAAGTATTTGAGAATGAACCAGCAAGTGAGAGTATCTGGCTGCCTTTCTCTCTCTCTCTAATAAATAAATGTTAAAAGCAAGAGAAAAGCCTCTCTTCTTCATTCTTTATGTTCTTCCTCTCCTGTCTTCTTGAATACTTTATTCACTGCATGTTCTTTTTATGAGTATTAAAAGCATCTGAGTTTTCTGTCCAGTATCTTGAGTACAGCTCAGTAAATACTGTTGTGACTATTCCCAAGTGTTTCATTGATCCCAAAATCTCTTTCTTTCCTGTTGGATATAATTACATATCTGTATATACTTGAAAATAACTTTACTCAAGAAAATTCTGCGATAAATCTTGAATACCATGAATTTCTCTCTTTTTTTATTCTTATCTGGGCTTTCTTGTGGTGTAGGAAAAATATTACGGATATGCTAACTCTTCGAGAGAGAGAGTTTCTTCAGGCAGGCTTAAATTCAGACAAAAGGAAATTTCTTACATTAAGGGATTATGAAGGACAGATTTTTTTTTTTTAAGATGTACTTATTTTTTATTGGAAAGGCAGATTTATGGAGAAGGAGGGATGGAAAGATCTTTAATTTGCTGGTTCACTCCCCAGATGGCTGCCAAGGCTTTGGGGCCATTCTCCACTGCTTTCCCAGGCCACACGCAGGGAGCTGGATGGGAAGTGGAGCAGCCAGGACACAAATCATATTTGATGCCACGCCTCAAGGGGAAAATTAGCCAATTTGAGATTGAGGTTTTCAAAAGTAGTCTTATGGTAGATTTAAAGGCAGATCTACATAAGCTATAATTTAGGTGAATTATTCTGAAACGTTTGATTAACTTGACCTTATAGTAGAGTCATATAAAGCCTGTAAAGGCATTTGGTCTGGCCCTGCCCAGGCAAATGCAGGCAGGACTTGAAATTCAGTAAATCTATAGCACGCAAATTTTTTAATTTGATAATTTTATGTAAACTATGGATTATATTATAAATATTCAAAAGGCCCTTGGCAGAAAAGATTCCCCAAGCCTGTGTGAATTAGCTGCCAGAAGGCAGTGTTCTGACGTGATCATAGTATAGGATATTTAGGACTCTTCAGAAAATTCATGGGAAATGCTTGTTATGCAAGTTATACTTGTTATTCCCACCTTTACCTGGATTTCTTAAAAAAAAAAAACTTGTGTTCCATTAATTTTATGTTTTAATTCCATTTCCCCACTTTTTTTTTTAAGGTATCCTCATAGATTACCTACAAGGAGGCTCACATTGTGGCAAAGGTTATGCAGTGGCCCGTATGAGTGCTGGTTTGTGGGCCAGCTGCTCCACTTCTGGCCCAGGTGCCCACTAATGATCTGAGAAAAGCAGTGGAGGATGGCCCAGGTGTGTGAGCCCCTGGCACAGATCTGGGAGACCTAGATGCAGCTCCAGGCTCCTGGCTTGAGCCTATTTCAGCACTGGCCATTGTGATCATCTGGGGAATGAACCAACAGCTCAAAGATCTCTGTCTATCTTTCTATCTCTGCAATTCTGATGTCTAAAATAAATAAAATAAACCTTAAATTTGAAAAAAAGAAAAGATTACCTAGAGGAAGAGTCCCTTTGCCATGTGTCCTAACCTGCACTTTTTGAGCCAGTCATTGAACAAAAGCTGATGGCAGTGTTATACTTTGAGTGCTAGACTTGGTGAGTGCTAGACTTAGGTCATTCGTCTTCTGCTCCATGTCTTTTTGGTAGTGGGGCCTGTGTTATCCCCAGGCTTCATTGTCTAGGTAGGTTTTCCCAAGCGGCTTGTAGACCATTGAATAGAATTAAAGGGCAGTTACTGTTTGATTCCAGGATAAGAGGGAGCTGGACAACAGCTGTGATTTAGACCATCAGTTCTCAAGATGCGATCTAGGGACTTGAGAGGTTTTTTGAGAGGATTGGGAAGACCCTGGAGTTTTGCCTTGTTTGCCTGTGATGTCACATGTGTGCAGTGGAGCTTTCAGAGGCCACCAGATAGATGGTCAGTATTACTGCTGTTAAAATGCTAATGGCATGTGTGTGTGGTTATTAGTGTGTTCAAACATTTTTCAGTTTTAATTTCTAGTATAATAAATATCAACAGATAAGTTTCGTAGTAAGTTTTAAGTGTCTGTAGCTGTTTGAAACCAAAGTGTCTGAGAATTTCTGGTTTAAATGCTATACTCTTTGAAAGAATCCAGCATGTAGCTAGATGCAGTGTAACTGAAGGATTGTGATACAAGATTGAAGGTACACTGGATGTCCAAAACCATAGTGACATGCAAAGAATTACACATGCAGAAACTGTCCCATGGTGAGCATAAATCTACCAGGGACTTTATTTTAAATTACTGCTGTGTTGTCATCTAGTAAGAAGCACAACAGAACAATATACAATCCTTACTAAGAGAGTTTACAATTTGGAAAGGCAATAATCAAAAATAGAGTATGTTTAGAATAATAGTGAGTGTCTGTAACCTATAGGTAATTATCTACTAGGCAGTTTGGAATAAGAAACCATTTAGGTAAACCATTGGGAACAACCATTATTGTCTGTTATCACCATTACAGTCGTTATCTTCTGCAGTAGTTGCCTTTATTGATGCCTTCCCCTGTTACACAGTAGCCTCTTCGAGGCTGGATACTTTAGTATGTGTCTCAGAAATACTTAGGAGAGTACTTTTTAAATTCATAGCAACATGATTGAGTGTGTAGATATCACCCAGGTCTTCATTCTTTGTATGGAAGGCATTTATGTTGGACGGGTACGGGTGGGAGTAGAAGCTAGGATGGATTCCCACGGTGGCATTGAGAGATGAGTAAGGTCTGGTCCTTAAGGAAGAAAGGGAAAGCCAGGCCAGGAAAGTTCCTTGTGCTGAGCCCAGAGTGGGCATCTTGTTAGTGTCCTGGTTCAGTATTGTCATATAACTCAATAGTGTACTTATATTTAAAGCACACTGTGCAAGGTCATATTGTAGTTTTCTTAGGCAGTCAGACTTTTTGTTTTATTGATTATTACTTTATTGATTATTGATTATTATTATTTGAAAGGCAGAGTTAGAGAAGAAGAGACATAGAAAGAGATCTTCGTCTTCAGGCTCAGCCCTCAAATGGCCATCATGGCCAGAGCTGTGTCAGGCTGAAGCCAGGGGCCAGGAGCTTCCTCCAGGTCTGTTTGTGGATGACAGGAGTTCAAGAACTTGGACCATTTTCTGCGGCTTCCCCAGGTGCACTAGCAGGGAACTGGATCTGAGTAGAATAGGTGGGACATTAACAGGTGCCCTTATGGGATGCTGGCACTGTAGGTGCTGGTTTAACCCACAGTACCACAATAGCATCCCATATGGGCACTGGTCCTAACCCTCATTGCTTCAGTATTGATGATCCATTTCCTGCTGATGTGCTGGGAAAGCAGCAGAAGATGGTCCAGGGGCTTTGACCTATGCCACTCACGTGGACAAATCCATCAAAAAGCTCCTGGCTCTTGGCTTCAACCTGGCCCAGGCCCGGGTTGTTGTGGCCATTTGGTGAGGGAACCAGCAAATTAAGAGTTTTCTCTCTCTCTCTCCTCCTTTTTCTCTGTAACTCTGCCTTTCAAAAAATAAAAATAACCTGAGCTATACCGCATGAAGATTATTTCATCAAAGACTACTAGTTTGCTCTGAAGTGTCAGATGTTTATGGGATTTTGAAGCTTTAATATTTTTCTCACTTTTTGTTTCAAGTCCTTTTACTAGCATAATGTTTTTTTTTTGTTAATAAGCTTAAATCTCTGCAAAGTAATTTGACTTTTCCTTGAAAAATGTTCACATATTAAATCCCGTGGAAATAATAATCCTTGCACTTTTCTTACTATGTCATGGCACACACTAAATGAAGATGGAAGTTGGCTAGTGTAAAGTAGACTCTATGACCTGTAGCACCCTCAGTGCTCAGAAGAACCAGGATGACAGATGGGCCATGCTTTGAGGGGATTTTTTTCCTTTCAGAGAGCTTAAATATCAATTTTCCTTTATTAAAAAAAAACACATATATAATAGTTAAGTATGTTCCCTTTGCTGAGTCTACCTGATTTCTATGTATTAGCTTTTAACTAAACATATGATCTAGTTACTAAGATTTGTCTAGTATTTCATAGAAGTAAAAGATTATCTCATTTAAAACTCATTTTAATTGTATATAGTGAAATTACTGAATGTTGTGATTGCCACATCAAGGTGTATGGTACCACTCTTGCCACTTTTGAGTGTATCTGGAAATTTTTCTTAAAAATGAGATATTCTAGAATAAAAATGGTTTTCAAAATTTGTTTTGTTAATAAACCATAATTATTAACAAAATCAAGTTTGTTGTTTTTTCTCATGCTAGTTGCTATGGGAAGTTTGTGGTTATCCACTTACACCATGTCTCCCATGTATCAAAAAGCAATAGATATAGATTGTCTTTATTTTGTCTCATGGTGATTGTAAAGTTTCAAATAAACTTGTAAAGTTTTGTATAAACTTTGAAAGGAGTGTGACTTTTTCTTGTTTTGTTTTCTAACCCTGTGGCCCATCTTTCTCCCCATTTCTCTTCCTCTAGAGGTATATTGCTGTTGGAGAACTGGGGAGGGCCACTGACACCCTGGATTCTACAGGGAAAGTAACAGAAGAAAAACCTTACGGTATGAAGTTCATTTACCATTGTTCTTCTTTAAAGAAAGTTTCTGTGAATGCATAATTTTAATTTCAATCTTTTACCTAAACATGCTTATTACATTGTTGCTTGTATGGTAGGAGTTTTTAAGTAAATATTTATAACTTTTTTTTCTTGCAATAATTTTCATGTTCAGAATTGTTTTTCTAGTAACTCCCTTGCCCCAAATATTTTGTAACAGATATACGGTGTTTTCCCTAATAAGAGAAAAACCAAAGGTACACACTAGACTTGACCTGTTTCTTGTACCTCACCTGCCTTTGTATCTATATAGGCAAGTAATATATATATGTGTGTGTAATATATGTATGTGTGTATGTATTGTTATTGCATATGTTATATATCATATGTGTACACACATATACATATATAATATATTATGTGTATATTATATGTGTATATACACACATACTCTTATTATATATATAATATACGCAATAATAATATTTATATATATAAAGGCATGAAAACTGGCTGTTCCAACCATTTGAGGAGCAAACCAACAAATGGAAGATTTGTCTCTTCCCTCTCTTTCACATAAGTAAATAAATCTTTTAAATATATATTAATGAATATATAAATCCATTTGCCAGTTTACTGCCCAGATGGCTGAAGCAGTCAGGGACCAGGTCAAAGCCAGGAGCTGAGAATTCTGTCCTAGTCTCTTCCTTAGGTGCAGGGGCCCTGTACGTGGGTGTTTTCTTTTGCCTTCCCAGGTGCATTGGCAGGGAACTGGGTGAGGAGCAGAGCAGCTGGGACTCCAGTCCATGAGAGAGGTTTGCCCTGCAAGTGGCAGCTGAAATTGCCGTGTCACAGTACTGGTTGTTTTTAAACGATTACTTCTCAGCTGTTGAAGTAAACGTGCCAGGTTTGGTTAGTGCTTTAAAACTCATGATGATCTTATGCTTTTGGGGGTAAAAAAAAAAAAATCTGAAAGAGGAAAAGCTGTTTGGAAGCAAAGCAGAAGTCACTGGAGCCCACCTTCATTTTCTACCATTCACCACCTTAAGAAAGGATACAGACATGAAATGGTCTCCTAGCAACTCTGACAGCGCTTATGCTATTTATAATGCAGCAGTTGCAGTTTTGTAAGTCAGTTCACCTGCATTTTTTGTCACAATTGTGAATTATTTCTTGGCTTTCTGGTTCTTCCCCATGTTTAATGTCATCTCTTTGTAATTTAGCTGTAGGCAGTCGAGCATCTGGCCTCTTTGTGTTTTTGTGTTTTGTCATCATATATTGCACATTGTCCCAATAGTGAAACCAGATCTTTTCCTTGTTCATAATAGCTTCACTTCCCCTGTTAACTTGTCCGGTTATAATAGCTTAGAATCCTGCTCAATTAATCAAGCGATATAATGGAAAAAAAATTGATTAGTTCAAGTCTTTTAAAAAATAGATGTTGAATTATTCTTGAAGTTATTAGTAGATAATAATAGACCCTCACTTAATTGAAACCCAATTATGACTAGAAGACTTTTAAAGATTTATTTATTTGTTTATCTTTTTTGAGAGACAGAGTGACAAAAGATCTTCCATCCACTGGCTCACATCAGTGAATGCTCCCAACGGTCAGGACTGGGCCAGTCTACAATCAGGAACCTGGAACTCAGTCTGGTTCTTCCTTGTGGGTGGCAGGGACCCCTGCTTCTGGAGTCATTAGCTGCTGCTTTCCGGGCTGTACGCTATCAGGAAGCTGTAATTGGAAGCCAGGACTCAAACCAGGCAGCCTGAGCAAACCTCTTGAGCGCCATGGCCCATCATTTCCCCTTATGTCCAATATTTAATATGCCACCTTTACTATCCCAACATAAAATCATGAAGAAATAAAATTTTTAAAACAAAAGTACACTGCTGTTTGCAAGCACAAATATTACCACACTGAAAGTCTTCATTAAATAGTCTTGTTAACACTTATACATAAATTACTTTGAATGCTGTGAGTGCAAATGCAGACTGTGACATGTAGATGGAAATCTAGAAAATGGGACAAAAATAATTTGAGTTTAAATGTATGATAGCATTGAAGTCCAGCCTTGGATAATTATAAACAGGCTTTTCATCTCCTTGAATATCTGACAGACATGCAAATGTCAGGCGGCACACAGAACAATTCTCCGTTTTGTTCCATAATCCTGCACACTGTAGGACATGGAACATGCCTGGTCCTCACCCACTAACAGCTGGTGGAACTGCCACCCCATCCAAACACAGAAATAACCAAAAATGCAGTTTGTAACTGACCCACGGAGACCAGCTGACTCTGGATTACCAAGTCAACTTCCGGTCAGCGGCTACTGGAAGCTCTCACGTCATTCCATCTTATCTTTACAAATACTATTTTTAGCTATTGTTCCAGTTCGTTAACTTAGAGGAGTGAGGAGATGAGTCCATGGCTGCAGTAGAGTCACAGTTCATATTAACAGGACCTTTCTCTTCACTGTCATAACAGCCTGCTATTCCTGAGTAGTGTTCTTCACTGTTTGCAAATATGCACTAGCATGTTAATCCCTTAAGTGCAGGACTGAGACCGTATGTTCCTGTGTTCTTGGTGTAACACGTGGTTAGTGCATGAGTTAGGCCTGCTGCAAGATGACTGCAGGTGAAACCTAGGAAGGACAGAGCCTTTGTTCTGCTCCTTCCTCACCTGTGCTTGGGCGCCGAGTCCCCAGTAGCATTGCTGGAGTCCCTGGGGATGCCAGCTTCAGTGTGCTCCACTGATTTCAGGACACTCAGACTATGGTTTTCCAAAGCAAGATGTAGACCAAGCCTCTGATCAGGCCCACCTGGAATCACTTTTCTGTCCTTCCTGAGGCAAAAAGTGTGAGAAGGAAGAGCTGACTCATGCAAATTGCTCTAAAGAGCACCATCCTTTAGTTCTGAGATGGTCAGTTCGTTCCCAAGGTTTTCCTGCCAGTAGCTGGGGTTTCTACCAGGAGTGCCTCCTCTTGGGCTGTGTGTGGTTTGTCTATGCTTGCTTCAGGGGCTCATCTTGGACAAAGCTGAAAAGGTGAATTGGCTCTCAAATTGAGATTTAAATAAATTGCCCCACACTGTAGCGAGACTAGTGTGAAGTGGGGGTAGCAATCTTCATATAGTGTTGATTGTTAATGTTTAAACTTTTCTTGTAAAGCATTTCACAAATAAAAGCAATTAGAAATGAAATGTACAGTTGAATGAGTTGTCATAGAGCAGAGTTAACCACCCAGTCCAGAAACAGCGTATTCCCAGAAATCCTTCTACCCCATTCCTGTCACTACTGTGCCCTTCAACGAAGACAGCTTCTTGTCCAACTCCCGCCATGATGGTGTCACTTCTCACCACGGTATAATTTTGTTAATTTTTTAACTTTATGTAAAGACATTAAATAGTATGTATCCTTTTGCCTGTACGTTCTTCCTCTTACATTTGCAAGGTTCATTCATGTTGTTTGCATACATTAATATTTGAATTTTCATATATAGTGTGCCACTGTTTGAATAAATACACACCCTACACACCGACACACATGTTTAAATTTACATACACAAATACTCTGTTGGTGGACACTTGGGTTGTACCTAGTTTGATGTTTTGTGAATAAAGCTGCAAGCAAAGTATATTTTTCACCTATTCTATAGACCTGTGTATTCATCTCTTTTGAGTGTATATGTAAGAATTACTGGGTCATCAAGCAGGTTTACTGGGCCATCAAGGAGGTGTGTATTTAATTGTGATGGAAATCCTAAGTTTTCTGAAGTAGTTGTGTCACTTTGTATTTCTACCAGCGATGTGTCAGTTCCACATGTTCTACATCCTTAGCCACACATCTTAGGAGTGTTTTTAATATTGGCCTTTCTCATGAGTAGTGTAGTGGTATTTGATTGTGGTTTTACTTTGATTGCTAAAGAAATTTGGCATTTTATGTGTTGTGACTCATTAGCTGTCAGCTTGTGAGTTCTGACTTGGTGTCTTGCCTACTTTTTTTCTTTCCCTATTGAGTTGTGTTTTCCTTAGTGATTATAAGCTCGGTTGTGTATGTCTTTGGTTATGTGCCTTGGGCATTCTTGCTTTGAGGTTGCCCTTTTCCTCCTAAATTGTGTCTTTTGAAATATAGACAGCTTATCAAGTCTTTTATGGCATCTCCCCAAAAGTATGAAGGCATTTTCCTATATTCTAGAAACTGGTTTTTAATTTTTAAAAGTGATTTGTTTCTTTGACAGGCAGAGTGATGCAGGGCAGGGTGGGGAGAAACAGAGAGAGAGAGAGAGATTGATTTTTCCATCTGCTGAGTTGCTCTCCAAATGGCTGCAGTAGCTGACACAGATCCAGGCTGAATCCAGGACTCCACAACGCTATCCAGGTCTCCCACATCATTGGCAGAGACCAAGTACTTGTATTATTATTGACTGATTTCTCAGGCACATTTGCAGGAACACCTGCAAGCGACGCAGCTGAGACTTGAATCAGCAAATGGCGTGCTGGTGTTGCAAGCAGCATCTTGGCCTGATATGCCATAGCACCGGATTGAGTGTTCAAGTGAAAGGACAAGACCCAGAGCAAGAGAGAGACAGAGACAGAGAGAAAGAGAACAAGAGAGAGACAGGCACACACAGAGGTCTTCCAAACACAGTTTTACTCCCCAAATGACTGCAACAGCAAGGTTTGGCCAGACCAGAGCCAGGAGCTCCATCCTGACCACGGGTGGCGTGGACCTAAGCTTGGGCATCTCTACTGACTACTCAGGCTCGTTATAGGAATGCTGAATTTGAAGTAGAGCAGCCACATCCCCAAACTGATATCACATAGCAGGGGGTAGCTTAACACACTGTGCTACCACTCTGCCTCCTAGAAGCTTTTGTTGCTTTTCCTTTGGCTTTGTATGTGCAAGCCTCCATTTGTTTCTCCTACAGGATTATTCTATTTTCTTAGCATTGCTTGCTTTGCCACAGATCAAATGCCATTTAGGAATAGGTTAGTTTGGAATCTGTTTTGTTATGTTGGTCAGTTTATCCTTATGTTAACACTAAACTATCTTAATTGCTATAGTTTTAGGCTGAATCTTAATACCTAAAAGAAAAGTCTCCCCACTTTCTTCAAAGAATTGCACTTTCTACTTTATTCTTAAATAGTCTAGATACAGAGTTATTTGCTTATTTATTCATTTGAAAGAGTGACAGAGAAGAGGGAAGAGAGGTCTGTCTACTGGTTTAGCTCTCTAAATGGCTGCAGTAGCCCGGGCAAGGCCAGGTCACAGCCAAGACCCAGGATCCCCATCCTGGTCTGCTACATGGTGAGAAGGGTCCTAGTACTTTGGTCGTCATCTACTGCCTTCCTAGGTGCATTAAGAGGGAGCCAGTAGAGCAACTGGTGTCCTAACCAGCAGCTCGATTCACTGTTGTATACCATCAGCTTCTTAAAATTTTTAAATTTATTTGGGAGGCAGAGGCAGACAGAAACATTCAGAAATAGCATTCCCATGCCCTGGTTCATTCCTCAGGTGCCCACAGTGGCCCATGGCCGTCATGCCTACCTACCAAGAGCTGCACTGCTGGGAGAGTGGAGTCAGGACCTAGAGCTGGGGTTGGAACTCGGGCCGTCCAGTGTGGGACTTGGCACCTTAGGTGCTAGGCCAAATGCCCGGCACTCCGCTCTCACCCCACCCCCAAATTTGTGTAGAATTTTTTTCCTGTAGAGTTTTTTCCCTAGCTTTCTGATGGTAACAGTGAAGTTGCCTTCTATTTCTAGTTTTCTTTCTTTTTTTTTATCATGAGCAGACATTGAATTCTATACATTTTTAAGAATCTGTTTTTTTTTTTCCCTTATGCAGATAGCAGAATAATATTTTGGGAACAAATCCAACTTGACTGTTATGCTATTCTTTATATAAATTTTTAAGTTTGGTTTACCAATACCGAGTTGAGGGCTTTCACATCAGTGTTAATGGGTGAGATTGCCCTGTGTTTATTTTCTTTCCATTAATGTCCTTGAGACATTTTGATGTCAAGATTCTGCTGACTTCATATATTGAGTTGTGAGTATTATCCTTTTTTTCCCCTACTCTGGCAAAATTTGTGTTTGACTTTTAATGTTTGATAGAATTTACTGACAGATATGTGTTGTGAATTTTCTTTGTTAGGAAGGTTTTATTTGGGAATTGGTTTTCTTGCTAGCTTTCTCCCTGGATTTTCTGAGGGCCTATTGAGTCTCCCAGGTGTTCAGTCTAATTTCCTTATTCTGAATGGTTAAGATTCCAAACATCTCACAGCCATGTAAGAGCTTTTGTAGTAATTCCTTCGTTAATTTTGTGAAAACTCACTGTATAAATGTATGACTTAGAATTTATTCAGTCTCAGGAGACTCATGAAGTGCTTTCTTTGTGCAATTTTCTCAAATTCCAGCTGCCACTGCTTCTCCGAATGCTGAGCTCTGTTCAGTGATATAGCCATGCTTTGTTTGGCTCTTCCTTCTCTGCCCCACAGTGAGGAGAGCACCTCCAGATGGAGTCAAGGGGGTGGGGCCTACCTGCTTATTTCCCTTCTCTGGGGTTTTGGTGATCATAAAACTTATCCAGTAGCAGTTATTCTAATATGGTCATGCATCATGTTTAACTCCATTGTATTGCTTTTCTCTCTGTAGTTAAGTACCAGAAAAAACTCAAATTTAAGCCAATAATTATTTTATATTTATTAAATGCTGTCACATTGTTTATTAATTTACCAAAGAATAATCACCAAATTCTTACAATAATTGCATCATTTCTATCTTGTTTTACTGCATATATTTCTTTTGACAAGCTATTGGATGTACTTATTGTAAAAATTTTGTTGTTCATGTCTTTTCCTTTTGAGATTGAGTATTTTTTTTTTCTTTAGAATCTCTGTTCTTATATCTGGGGGCAATTACCATTTGGATTGGTATAATACAGCATTTTCTGTTGGCCAGCATGGGCCACTACCTTCTTAAGCACCACAAGCTTCACTTTCATTGTGAAATAACTTGCTCTGTAGGCTTTCCGTCTGGTGAGTCAAAGAGCAGAATTGTTGCCTAGCTGACTTCTAAATGTCCTTCAACCTTGAGATCCTATTATCCGTCACCAAATTAGATTCAGCAAAAATGGCTTGAGTGCCATCTTGTTATATGGGAAGAAAAACTGTCTGTGGGGCTCAGAATTTCATTGGTAATAACACACACACACAAATACAGATTAATTAAAAATTGTGTATGGTTAATTAGAGAATGCACAGCATGCATCCTGAGTGCCTGAGAGGTTGAAGCAGACACATCATGGCAGATAGAATGAGGAAGGTCACATTTGGTCACCGTGTATGTGTGTGTGTGTGTATGTGTGTGTGTGAGAGAGAGAGAGAGAGAGAGAGAGAGAGAGAAATGTGAGGAGGTAGAGGCACTGGCAAAGAGGACAAAGCAACACCTATTTGCAGGAATGCCGTAGAGAGACCAGCCCAGCAGAAGTTCTTATTTTTAAAATGTGGCTGAGTTATGAGCTCTTGCTTTTGTGTCAGCAGTGGCATTTCTTTGAGCAGGAGCCAGCATGGTGTTAGCAGTGGCTGTCTAGATTTGGAAATCTTAGATTTGCATAATGAAGGCATCACCAGTGATTATATTTTAATGTTGCAGTAAGCATTTTTTCATGGAAAAATCCTCGTCCATGTCATGAGCCGCATCTGTTGGAGGAACAGTCTGAACGGAAGAGCCACCCCCCAAGATCTGCTTCTTTGGAGCTTTGCTAGGATTTGAAACAAGTCTTTTGTTCTTCAGCTTTTCTGAATTTGAGTTTAATAGATTCTCGTCTTTTGTTTATATTTAGTTTCTAAGGGTCAAGACCACTTTGAAATTAAAGCTGTCTTACTTTGTTCATATTGAAATCTGAGCACAGTATTCCATGCTGTCCTTTAGTATGTGTTATGTTGTTAGAACAATAACTTAAAGCACACTAATGTGTCTTTGTTTAATATTATTCAAGTAAAATCATATACATATACCAGAATAAAGAATTTAGGCATGTTTCCTAGAAAATGGTGAATGCAGTTAATGTTTTTTCGTTGAGTAGGAACTAAGCAAATTTTGGAATGTTTCTGGTAGTTCATTACTACATGTAAAAACAAATCTGTAAACAGAAGCCCAAATATTAAATTTCAGTGTATCATGGTTTTAGTTTTTGAAATTATAGAACTGCAATTTAATGTTATATCATTTCATTTGAAAGAAAACCAAGCAGAAGCCAAAAACATGAATAGGTGACAGATATTAAAAGCTTTATTCAGATTTCCTAGTATAATGGTTTTAAAAGTGCCTAATATACATGTTAAAATCTTTGTTGTGTATATTCTTTCTTTCTTTTTTTTTTTTTTGGTCCTGGCTTGTTTTTGAGGCTGACTGAGAGTATTCATTTAAAAGAGGGATCAGAGATAGCCCAGTATGATAGCTATCACCATCACCTGATTCCCAGAGTACGTATTAGCAGAAAACCAGAATTGGGAGTGGAGTCAGGACTGAAACCCAGGCCTTGCAATACAAACCTGCCACCCTGGAAGGATTTTTTAAATGAATTTTCAGAGCTGTTAGTGTTATAAAAACAGCATGTGTACTTCTGGGATTGTTTTGTGATGACTTTTTCATTGTTTACTTTGACAGATAAAATAACACGAGGAGATATGGAAAGCATTCTACAGAAGTTTACTGGGAACATAATGCAAGTACCTCCCCTGTAAGTTCACTTATGAATTTGAGTAAATTTTTCTTCTCCAATGGTGAATAACATTACTAAAATAAATGGGCTCCACTTTACTATATGGTAAGGCAGATTTTAAATCTAGCAACTAATGATCAAATAAAGGTGAGCCTCATTTTTTAGATGCTATTTATGTATTTTCATCTTGAAATGAAAGGACTTGGAAAGGTAGAGATGCTTATAACCTACAACAGTCAGGTGCAAGCCAGGAGTCCAGAGCTTCCTCTGGATCTCCCATGTTTGTGGCAGGGGCTCCATCATCTGAGCCATCATCTGTCGCATTCCAAGGTGTGTGTTAGCAGGAAGCTGGATTGGAAGCAGGGTATTCAGGACTAGCCTGCACCCTGACATGGAATGCAGGCATCACAAGGCTCCGCCTACCCCACTAAATTACTTTACCATGCTGAGCCTGATTTTAGACAGGCTTGTGGAGCTTCTGACATGCTGAAAGGTAGAGGTGAAACCAAATCCCATCATGTAAAAGCAGGACCCAACCTCTTGTCTGTTTCCCTTAGCACAAGGTATCCTTGCCTGCCGTTTAGTGAAAGGAATTTGCTGATTTTAAGGGAGTGGGTTAGCTGGCATTGCAGGCTTCTTAAAAGTCATTTGCTTCTCCAGTAGATAAGAACATCAGTGTCCAGTGTTGTCCTGGAATGATTGTGTAGGGAAATTCCAGGTCTAGGCAGAACCCAACTGCCACCTTGGAGTGTGACCGACTCGTCAAAGCAAGGTCATGAGCTGCAGCCGACCAGCTGGAAGCTTGTATGTGAGCTGATTGTGCACTTCTCAGCTCTGATTTCAATCTATAAGAATCTTTACCCCTAATTCCTGGGGGAGCCCAGGAGTTAAGCAATAGCAGCCCGGCTCCTTGTTTTGTGCTTTGCAATAAATACCAGCTTTTTCCCACTACTCCAATGTCAGTGATTGGCTTTCTGTGTGTTGGACAAGCAGACCTGGTTCTGGGGTTTGCTTATTAGCTTTTAAGAAACATGATAACTTTTAGACAGAAATGAATATTATAATATAAAAATTGCTTCAAGGAATTGTAGCAGAGATGATACGACCAAGAGAGTGAGTTCCTGGTGCACTAAGCACAGAATGAGAACTAGTGAAGGTAAGATGCAATCTCCAGGGAGAAGGTTAAATGAGGAATTTGATGGCATAGTTTATTGAGTGCAAGAATGAACTTACATTTTCTACCAAAGTATTTGGAAATTCTGTCCCTGACAGCATTGTGGGATTAATTGGAAGAAAGACTAGCTCATTTCTTAGAAGGATTTTCCACTGAATGGATGCTAGTCATTCTTTTCATGTCATAATCTGCAATTAATATTTCTCGATCTCTGGTTGTTTTTGCCTTTCTCTTTCCTTCCTTCGATCCATCCCTCTCTTACAAGCTATTCTGCGTTAAAGAAGGATGGACAAAGACTTTCGACTTTGGTGAAGAGAGGAAAAATAGTAGAAGCAAAATCAGCCAGGCCAGTCACTGTGTACGGCATCTCCCTTCAGAAATTCCAACCACCATTCTTCACATTGGGTAAGATGGAGAAATTTGAAATCATCTCTCTTCTTATGTACCTTTAGTTTTTCAAGTACCCTTAAGACATTGGAGTTTTTTTTTAAAGAATTTAAGGAAGTTTGGAGTTTGATAACATATTTAATCCTGTATCTATCTGGAGGTTCAGAAATGCCTTTCAACTAGACTGATTGTGTCATATATTGTATTATGTTATCTTCCTATAAAGTTAGAAACAGTATGGCTAGATCTCTGTTGAGAAGCATGTATTTTCAAGGTTTTGGGTTTTCTGATAGATGCTTTTCTTCCCATTTTTGCTAGTCCTCAGTACATTCATTTTAGAATTGACATTAATTAATTTGGGCCCGGCACAATAGCAAAACAGCTAACGTCCTCACCTTGAACACACCAGGAGCCCATATGGGCTCCGGTTCTAATCCCTGCCTCCCTGCTTCCCATCCAGCTCCCTGCTTGTGGCCTGGGAAAGCAGTCGAGGACAGCCCAAAGCTTTGGGACCCTGCACTCGTGTGGGAGACCTGGAATAGGCTCCTGGCTTAGGATTGGCTCAGCTCCAGCCATTGCGCTCACTTGGGGAGTGAATCATCAGGTGGAAGATCTTCCTCTCTGTCTCTTCTCCTCTCTGTATATCTGCCTTTCCAATAAAAAAATAAATCTTAAAAAAAAAAAAAAAGCTCACTGACTGGACAGCTCGGAGCCATAATAAATAAATAAAAATTAAAAAATAGAATTGACATTAATTTGACCTTTCAAAACAAAGCATTTCTAGTTTTTGGACAAGAAATTCTTAAGACTAGAGGGTCCTTTGTTACAAATTACAGCTGAACATCTTAAAAATATGGAAAACTTAGGAAGACAGGAATGTATTTTTGGACATGTGAAATTTAACTTAGGTTATCAATTCGAGTTGATAATCCATATTTGAAATATATTTAAGAACCCTCAAATTTGTTTCTGTTGTTTGGAAATACTTTTTTTTGCTGACTGCAGAAGGTTGTAGCTGAAGCCTGGAACAGGAATAGAGTTGTGATGTCTTACAAACTATAGTTCCTCTTAACCGTCAGGCTCCTTCATGTGATCCTCCCCTTAGTTTGATGGTACCTACTCAATAGGATTCCACTTAGGATTCATCTTCCTTGGGACTAGCATTGTAGGTTAAGTTGCCTTCTGCAGTGCAAGCATGCTGTGAGTTCAGATCCTGGCCTGGGCAAGCAGTAGAAGAGATGGGCTTCCTAGCTCCTGGCTTCGCCCTGGCCCAGCCAGTGCAGCCAGTTGGAGAGTAAACCAGTGTGTGGAAACTCGTTCTCTGTTTCTGTCTCTCTATGTCTCCCTACCTTTTTCTTAAGTTTCCTGTTTCTGAAATATTTGACAGATGACAAAAAAAGACAAAACAAAAGAAAAAAAGCATCGAGAAATGTAAAATGTAGAAAATGTAAAAGAACCAGAAGAACTCTCTTCTCCCTAAATATCATGCACAAATATTAGCACAGCTACGTGGCAGTGCTCGTATTTTATCCACAGCAGTGGCCCCCAACTGTAAGATGATGTGAGGGGGGAAAAAAAACAGGTTTAAAATTCCTAGGTGTTGAATTTTGATTAATTTGCCCTGATGGCTTTATTTGTGCAGTGTGATTGCAGAGAGCTCTAATGGAAAAAATCCTTTTGTGTGAAAATGCAGAGTCCTTTTCCGAATGTCTGGCTGGTGAATACAGATAACCTAGAGCTGTCCTCTCGGCCTACCATCGTGCAGTACCTTGTGGCAAAATGCTGAGAGAACTAGATCACAGCTTTGCCATCCTGTAGATGTTGGAATTCTTTTTAGATATGTATGTTTAAAATTATTTGTTTTTTTATTTAATTATTTTTTGAGGCATATTTCCAAGAAAAACATTCCAATATGTTGAACTCTGTGTTGCATGATATTCCAAACACGATTCTTGTCACCGTGGAAAGAGGTTTTTCATTGGTTTACTGGTTATATATTTTGAACATACAAATCTAAAAATATTTTCAAAGTCTACAGCTCATGCTAATAAAGCTGAGATATCTGACTGTTTAAAATCTATTAAATGAGCAAGACTGAAGTATTAGCCTGATGTGACTTGCCAGTTCATTTGAAATGTGATCCTGAATTTCTGCTGTTTTCTCTCAGCACACTCTGACTTTCTAGTCTCACAAACACATATGCTATGGGATGAATAATTTATATTTTAGCGCATAAATATTTTATCACCCGATTGTTTGCATAGTGCATTTTTACATTTGTTTAGGGGCATCATTTCTATGTAAAGTGGATTTCAAAGGAGGTTAGCAATTTACCATGTCACTGTTAACATTCTAGATGTTGAATGTGGAGGAGGCTTTTACATCAGAAGCTTGGTCAATGACATTGGCAAAGGTAAGCATAAAAATGAATTTTGAATCATCATTTAGAGAATAATATTCCATTCTGATAGAGTTTTTTAGTTTCCTTGCTTTGGAGTTCTGGCCTTAGCAACTGAACTCCCGCTGCCTTCAGCTTTGCAAGCTGCTAGGTTGACAGCAGCCAGTATCTGTCTGAGCGTCAGCAGTCCTGCAGTAGGAAGGAAGAGAGAGGAACAGCAAATGGAGACGGGAACAGTGACCTAAGCAGGCACATTTTGTCAAGTATAAAACATTTTAACCTACAGTAGGGATCAGAAAACAGAAAAAAAAAAAAAAAGATTTGCCTTGATACAAACAAAATCAGAACCAAAACCCAACAAGCAGCTAGAAAATTGTGCTCCTGGCCCTGTCATTACTGGCTCCTGTGACACGATCAGGTCCTGCTTCTTCATGTGCAAAGAATAATACTTCCCACACAGGGCTTCAAAATGTGCTCCTTTAGCACCTGTTTATCTCAAGGCTGATGTTCTTACCGTTTTACCTTTGGAGTGGTTTCAAGAGGTTTGATTTGAATTTTTCTGTCATTTGGAAAAGTTACAAATTGTGAAATACTCCATCACTCACCTTCTGGATTTTCTTTTAACTTTTTGTTGCTGTAGAATTGTCTTCCTGTGCCAACGTACTAGAGCTGACCCGAACCAAACAGGGGCCATTTACCCTGGAAGAGCACGCCCTTCCTGAAGACAGGTGGACCATTGATGCCATTGCGCAGTCTGTTGAGCATTGCTCATCTCTTCTCCCCACAGAGTTGGCCCTTAAAAAACCAAAACCCGAGGAGTCCAGTGAAAAGGTTTTGAGCTGTAAATCTATAACCTTCAGTGACACCAAAGGGAAAGATGATGCAATTAAAACATTTTGACCAGGACCCTCGAGTATCATTATTTGCACTTGGCATTTGAATTTTGTGTGCAAATGCGGTGACAGGCTGCATGTAAAAGACAAACAGCTACTCCTGACTTTTCATTTTTCCATCAAGAAGGATGTCTATCCTTTACAGTCTCCACAGCGTGCATTTTGTTTGCTATGTGCTATAAATTACCTTGCAGTTTTTCAGTTCTTTACTATGGAGTATTCTTTTGGGATGTTCTTATGTTGTTATGAGTATGATTGGATTCAGGAAAACTTTCTCAATTTGATCTTTCTTCAGTCTTTTTCTATAAAAATGTTGCACAGGTCTTCTAATCAAAGAAAAAGGAAATAACAGCTGGCGTTTCTTTAGTCTCATGATAATGGTATTTTGACATTCTTAAGGCTTCTTGGTGCCTCCATTGCACTGAAATTCTCTAAGATTCAGAAAGTGTTATTGGAGTCTGCTATATGTTTTGGAGTGTTTTCTATGCCTAAACCTATTTCATTGATAAGGTTGCACATCTCTAGTCCTAACTATGTTGATTTAGATCTTTTAAACAAAGTTTTATAATATTTTTAAGTGAACAGGTTATTATCATTACCACTGATGATATATAAATAGATACTAATACTTAATTCACTTCTGCTATTAGAGAAGACAGTTCCTAAAGTTTTGTATCTTAAGCTATTAGGTATTTTCCTGGTAATTTCATTAACTTTTGATCACTTTGTACCATGCGATGAAAAGCAAAATTTAAAAAAAAATTGAAGAATGTATCTTCAATGAAAAAAAAAATCTTTTTGTATTCTTTAGCATCTATTTATATTTCTTTATTGGGCATTAATCTCAGTGACATTATTTCTTAGTTATTTGCTCCTTTAAGAGTGTTATTTATAGAGCATGAGAGAGCTGTCTTGTTTTTCAGCCAATATCCTCTACTCACAATATTTAAAAAACACTTATTCTCAAATATTTTCCTCTCAAATAGTGCTCTAAAAGTTCTTATCCCTCTTTTACCATAATTTTAAAATGCAGTCACCTTACAAAATAATAAATTTAGTATACAAATGAGTATTTTGTATTTTTGTTGTTGGACAGCAGTATTTTGTATTTTTGTTCTTATACAGACAGTATACAAAAATATTTGACTCTTTCTTCAATTAATCAAATACAGTTCCAGTAGGAAGGCCTAACAAACATTTCATAAAGTTAGATGTTTCTGAGTTTTTGGATTGCTTTTGTTTTTGAAGATAGTTGGTTGTTGGCAGGTTGATCCTGCACCTGCTGTGCCAGTATCCCATTTTGGGGTTGGTTCATGTGCCAGCTGCTCCACTTCCCATCCAGCTCCCTATTTGTGACCTGGGAGAGTGGCAGAGGATATCTGGGGTCCTTGGGCCCTTCCAGCCATGTGGAAGGCCCAGAAGAGGTTTCTGGCTCCTGCCTTGGACAGGCTCAACTCAGGCCATTGTGGGTCTTTCATGAATGGACCAGTGCATAGAGGAACCCTCTGAGTCTCCCTCTTTCTGTAGATCTGCCTTTCAAATGAAAGTAAAGGTGTGTAAAGATGGTTGCTTGAAACCTCAGACTCAGACATTTTAAATCTCCAGGTTGTTGTAATTTAATTTGTGGTTAGCCTAAGATAAAGTCAATATTACATCTTTTAATAGAGCATTTATAACACAGCTTAAGTGACAATATTGAGACTAGTTATTAGCGTGAGATAGAAAAGGAAGCAAGAATTGACATCATGGTGCATTTATATGAAATACCAAATGTGCAAACTCGTAAATTGAAAATTTACAATTTTACTTATTCATTTCTATTTTAGAAAAGCCTTTATTTATTTTAATTTGAAAGTGAAGAGAGAAATAGACAGTGCAGTGTCTCCCTCCACTGGGTCACTTCCCAAATGCTCTAATGGCCAGGGCAAGTTTGGGTAGGAGCTCAGTTCAGCTCTTCCCAGGTGGGTGGCAGGAAGCCAGGTACTGTGACTGTCACCTCCCAGAGTGTTCATTAGCAGGAATTCTCAAGTTGGCAGCGGAGCCAGGACTCAAACCAGGCAATCCAGCGTGAGATGCTGGCGTTCCACCTGGTGTCTTCAACTCTGTGCCAAACGCCTGCCCATCCTAGTTTGTTTCTAATGCTCTGTGGTTTGTGTCAACCAAGGGGGCAGTGGCTCCTGCCTTTTGGAATGACACTTGTTACATCATTATTTGGCAGCTTAAACCCACCTAGAGAAACATTTAGTTTTAACAACACAGATGATATTTCTGCTGTGTATCTCAGCTTTAAATTAATGTGTACAATTTACAAATGGAGAAGAGAGTGTTTCAAAAGAAAAGTAACATTTTGAAATGATAGCCAGGATTTTTTTGTTGTTGTTGAAATCACGAAAGAAAATATCTTTCAAGTGGAAATTATGTAATTCCCACCATCCTAATCCCACCCACCTAAGAGTTTTAGTTTTTTACTACTCTTTTCCTTCTTTTTGTTTACATAATTGAAGTCTTAAAGCAGCTATCCTTCTTAGTGGGCTAGTTTTAACTTGATATAACCTATTTGTATTTAGGGTTTTTTTAAAATCTATTTATTTGACTAACACAGTTACAGAGAAAGAGATTCATTCTCCATCTGCTGGTTCACTCTCCAAATGGCTGCTTTGGCTAGGGCTGTGCCAGACAGAAGCTAGCAGCTGGGAGCTTCATCCTTGCTTCCCGTGTCAGTAACAGGGGCCCAGGAGTCCAGGCTTCTGGATTGGAAACCGTGTTCTTATCTCCTGCACTGCAGTGCTGGCTCCTGTGTTTAGTTTTGGTAAGTGGTGATCACATTACTTACTTGTAACTTACTGTAACTATTTCCCTGTTGCTTTATAGTTAAGTTGCTTTCATTTAGATGAGGATAAATACTTGAGCAATGGGATTGAAGCAACATACACAGTTATGTGACTTTTGTTTGTCTTACTACTTTCCCCAAGAGTTTTAAGTTTACAGTGTCACTATTTGAGTAGGGATTTTAGATGCTGTTGCTAATTTAGTAAGTAAAAAAAAAAGAGAGAGATCAAGGTTTTTGTTATTTGCTTTTGATGATTTCTCTGTATACTCTGTTCATTTATATAAATAAATGTCTTAATGGTTTTTTTTGTATTTTTGCTTGAGTTATTTATCTAGTAAATGATAGAAACATTCTGATGGCCACCTTTCTTATAATTTTAGTTTTTGTTTTCATTTTTCCTAGCTAACTTTGCTAATTTTAATTATTTTGTGCCTCATTGTCAGATGTGTGGATATGAATAACTAAAATTTATTGAAATTAAAAGATGCTCTGATAGATTCAAGCTTTATTTATAAAACATGGTACTTTTCTTCTAATAGTCAAGTATTTAAGTAGCAACTGTTTTATTCCTATTTTAATTAGAGCATTGAAGAAATAGATGTGCTTATCTGTTCCTGTCCTTAAGCTTCATGATGCGATATTATTGTTTTCCTTACAAACACAAGATAAGTTGTTTATAAGATAAATCCTGAGGACTTAGAATTTGCCAGTCACTTCACTTGGATGCCTTAAAAACTAGCTTTTTGTATTCTGAGAAATATTTTTCCTTAACTTTAAAGTTGTCAAAAGAGTTGGCTAAGCCACGGCACCCACTGGTATATGTGAGGACTAGGTCTCTAGTGGATTGGCTAGACTGGGCTGCAGCACCCATCAGTTTGTGTGAGATTTTGGGCTAAGGTGGAACTGACCGAGTTGCACCCATCAGTGTGTGCATTGGCTCATGCAGGTGACAGACTGTACCTGACCCTGTACTAGCTGGTGCACGGAAGACTCAAGTCCTAGGTCACCCCAGGCAATGTTTCTTTGGGGACTCCCCGACTGAAGTCACCCGACTAAGACCCTGGCCACAGAGAAAAATCACGAGATGTGTGGTCTGACCTTGTGCATGTATTGGGCCACCTTCATTACTGATGCCTGTGCAGTGGCTAGCCTGTCCAGAGGCACACGGGAGACTGGACGGCCAACTCATCTAGGCCAACAGAGGATGTCAACTGTCTGTCAAAGGAGAGAAAGCTGAAAAAATTGGACAACTCTCCTGGCCAAGCTTTGCAGAATGTTCCTGGGCCTGTGGATGCACTAAGATGGACTTTGTCAACCAGTAGACTTTGGAAAGATTTTCTAACCTTGGAGCCACAAAACCGATGATTCAAGGTTATCAAGAGCACTCAGGAAACACCCTTGGAATACTCTTTTCCACATTGGAGTCTGGGGCATTATCAAAGGACCCTGCCTCTTCCCTGGGTGCTTGTGTGGTTTGACAGCAAGCAGTGGCCCTCTCCCTTTTCTCCCCTGCAGAAAAAGGAGAAAAGAAAGAAACAAACAAACCCTGAAACATGTCTCACCCATCTTCCTTCACACCTGACCTTTCCCTCCCTGGTCAGAGGCCCACATGGATATGTATCACTCTCAACTATGTAAACAATATTAAAAATTTAAAAAAAATTTTTTAGAAAGTGGTCATAGGAGAGTTTATTTATATACCTAAAGCCCATGAGCATTAAAACAGCAGAAAATTGCTCTCTATGAATTAGAAATTATGAAATGTAAACAAGAGCTCAACTTCCTTATAGATCTTTTTAAATACTGGAGTTTATACAAGCTGCTGACTCATCGTCAGGAATTTTTCATTGTATAAGAAAGAAACACTATATCTCAGATCTTCAAGACATTTGATGAGCCTCCTGCCAATTTGAAATTTATATCAGACTTAAAATGCACACTTAGAGGATCACTTAGATGGTAAATTGTTCTGTTTCCAAAGGAAAAAGCAGTTTACCTTGAGTCATGTGTATAGATGGCAAGGGAAAAAAACAACGCATTCTGGAGCACCCTGGCCCTTACACAGAGGAAGAGCACAAGCAGAAAGTGTAGGCACTGAAAAGGTGATAATGGCCTTGTACTTTAAACAGGATTGTTTTAAAACTTGTTTTTCTTTAACATACATGTTAGCTGCTTTGGCCTACCCTGATG